TATACAGAGCATTACTTTCTTACCGTGAATATTCCGCTTTGGTATCGATGTGGATGGTTTTCCTGGGTCGCTAATGGATTTCCTCCGTTTGGGATTATCGAAATATATCCACTTTTCGTCTCCAGTCACAATACGATGCAAAAAACCTTTTCTTTTCTGCCTGGCAAGCAAGATTTCAGACATGGCTTTTCGCCTCTCGATGTCTCTTTCTTTCAGTTCTTTCGTATGGCATCCATCTTCCTTCTTTGTAAATATTTCCCATGGCTGCCAAATGTACAGAAATTGTTGATCGATTAACATTCAACAATTGCGCGAGCTCATGTTGCGATTGACACGGATCTTCATCAATTAGTGCCTGCAGTTCCTCGTCCTAGAACTTCTTCGGCTGACCTGGACGAGGTTTGTCATCGACACTGAAATCATCACCTTTGAAACGTCGAAACCATTCTCTGCACGATTTATCGGTGGGAGCATTTTTACCATGATAATTTAAGCTTCTACGAGCCTTCGATGAGTTTCAGCGGCTGTTTTCTTCAAATGAAAACAGAAAATGAGAACTTCCCGGAAATGATGCTTTTTTGGCTCGAATTTCGACATTTTCGAATTAGATAAACACGATGTTATTGTTACAAACCCAAACGTTTATCAACTGAATATTATTGCCAGATATCAAAACTAAAAAGTAAGGCCTTTTGCAGACATTAGAGGTTAGGAAATTATATAGTACAGCAATTGTATCTCCAGATGGACCGAATTAATTCACACACTTAATACAATAATTTGTTTGCCAGAAGTTATCAATGAATTGCATAAAACAAATCAAAATCGCCGCATCATCCTTTATCATGACAATGCGAGCTCTCATACGGCCGGTCAAACAATTTAATATTTGAAAGCGATAAATGTGAAAATAATGTCTCATTGCCCGTATAGTCCTGATTTAACACCTTATAATTTCTTTTTGTTCTCGTTGTCAAAAATAATGCGTAGAGAGTGTTTTTCAGCACCTGGAGAGACAGTTGACGCGTTTACGCAACACATTTCTAAGATATCCACTTTTAAATGAAAAAAATGTTTCTAGAATTGGTTCGACCGCATGCAAAATTGTATAGATCTTAAAGGTGATTGCTTTGACAAATAATAAAGCCATTTATACTAACTAATTTATGTTTTTACGTACTTATTCTAAAAACTTTCACAGCAACGTACGTGTATGTATGCGCGTGTGCATACATGTATATATATTAGGTCGTTAAATATAAAATGTCTGATTTCCTTAAATACTAAGTTCGACAGTCGATATCTTTGACATTTCACCTTTACAGTTCTTGGTTTTTTTCTTGTGAAAGCACATCATTAGTCTTTCAAACGCATGTTTTGGTTCGTGATTATCTTTCGAAATGTCTTTGTTACAGCAATCTTTGTGTAACCATGGATAAGTTAAAAATTGGTGTTATTGTGTAATATTTTCATATATGAGTTCCGTCGTGGAACCAATGCAGCACAGACAACTCGAAATATCAACGAAGTGTTTGGTGAAGATGTGGCTAATGAACGCACAGTACGTCGATGGTTTTAAAAGTTTCGTTTTAGCGATTTTAATCTTGAAAATAAGCCAGGTGGATAATGATGAGTTGAAAGTTATAGTGGAAGTATAGTGGAAGCGAATACATCTCAAATTACGCGTGAATTAGCGGCAAAATTTAACATTACTATTTCAACAATATTGGACTACTTGAAACAAATCGGCAAAGTAAAGAATCTGAATAGATAAGTTCCGCATGAATTAAACGAGCGTCAGAAGAGAAATCGTCTTGAAGTGTCTTGGGCTTTCTTTACTATCACGACGTAAAAGGCTAATCATTTTTACGTCGTATTATTACGTGTGATGAAAAATGGATTCTTTTCGACAATCGCAAATGTTCGGCACAACGGTTGGATGAAGATGAAGTGCTGAAACAGAATCCGAAACCGAATATTCACCAAAAAAAGCTAATGGTTTCTATTTTGGTGGTCCAGTGATGGTATTATCCACTATAGCTTCATGACATCTGGTCAATCGATTGCAGCAGATGTTGTCTACTATAACCAACTGGACGAAATGATGAGGATGCTTGTGATTAAGCAGCCGATATTGGTCAATAGAGACAGGCCAATCCTCTTGCAAGATAACGTTCGACTATGTGCCGCACAACAACGCTACTTAAACTATAAGAGTTGGATTTGGAAACTGTCTATCACCTACTATATTCACTAGACCTTGCACCAACTGTCTACCACTTCTTCCAGGCATTGAACTTTTTGCAAGGAAAAATATTCAATTTTCAATAAGATGTAGAAAACATTTTCCGCAATTTACTGATTTTTTAAAATTTCAAAATCATCAAATTAACAAAAATCCGGGCGCCATTATAACAATATATTCTTGAGACTAAATAAAGCAAGAAAGTCTAGTACCACTTTTTCTTCCGACAAATAATTAGCGAGATATCGTAAGTTAAATATTGAAAAAGTTATTAAGTTTTCCTCAAATATCTCAAAAAACATTAGACAAATAGAAAAATGTTTTAGACAAAAGTTGTTCAGGTTAATTAGTAGAAAAAGCAGTGTAATAAAAAGAAGGGTTCCTATTTAAAAAATGCCAGTTGACCTTCAAATGACCTTGAAAATAGAAGTCATGGTCAAAGGCATGGTCATCATAAGGTAGCTCACTTAAATCCCTACAACTTTTATTGAGATCATTTTCCTTGAAATTTCAATACTGAAGAGTTATTTGAGGTGAGACATTAGAATGGGACACCCTATATAGTCTTTTTCTACCAATTATTTTAACAACTTTTGTCAGAAACATTTTTTTATTTGCCTAATATTTTTGAGATATTTAAGGAGAACTTGAAACTTTTTAAATATTTAACTTACGATATCTTGCTAACTATTTGCCGGAAGAAAAAGTGGTACTAGATTTTTTTACTCTATTTGGTCTTAAAAATATTGGGTGAGTGCAAAAGTTCGTGCGGAGTTTGTGAGTAAAAGTCACACAGTGATTAGGCAAACAAAAATCTTTATTCAATCAATGATATATTCTCCATCGTTTTCTATAATCTTTTCCCAACGTTCTGGCAGCATACGGATGCCTCGATCATAAAAACTGCGCGGTTTAGATTCGAAGAACGAAGAGACGCCGTTTTTTAAGGCCTCCAAAGAGTCAAAGTTTTTTCCATTTAAATCATTTTGCAATGACCGGAACAAGTGATAGTCAGATGGTGCGATATCAGGAGAATACGGTGGATGCGTTAAGACATCCCATTTCAGGCTCTTCAGTTTGCGCAGCGTCTTTTTCGAAACGTGTGGTCTGGCGTTGTTGTGATGAAAGACGACTCCCTTGCGATTTGACAAAATCGGACGTTTCTCTTTTATTTCTCGATTCAGATTGGTTAATTGGCGACAGTACTTGTCCGAATCAATCATTTCGCCAGCGGGGAGAAGCTCGAAATAGATTATGCTCTTGCAATCCCACCAAACAGAGAGCATCACCTTCATCGGGTGCAAACTGGCCTTTGGCATTGCGTCACCATGCTCACCTGATTGTTTCCATGTCCGTTTGCGCTGAACATTGTTGTAGAAGACCCATTTCTCATCGCCCGTCATTAGTCGATCCAAAAACGACTCGTTATTGAGCCGCCCGAGTAAAGAAACGGCTGCAGAAATTCGCTTGATTTTGTTCTTCTCGATCAGCAAATGGGGCACCCATATATCGAGCTTCAAATCGAATCCCATCTTTTTTAAACGCCGAAAAGCGGTTGATCGGTCAACGTTTAGTGCTGTAGCAACTTCTTCTGTTGAAATTCGCGGATTATTGAGCACTAAAGTACGCAAAACATCGTCATCAATGTCAGAAGGTCGACCAGAGCGTGGCTCGTTTTCAAGGTTAAATTCTCCGCGCCGAAATTTAGCAAACCATTTTTCCACAGTTCGTTTAGCTGGTGCTTCATCCTGATAAACATCTTGAATGTTTTTTACGGCTGCGGCAACGTTTATTCCCTTCCGAAACTCGTAAAGCATAACATGCCGTAAATGCACCTTATCGATACTCATTTTTAAAGTGATATTTCTCGAAGCAGTTTGTATGAAATGATTTTTTTTTTAATAACAGCTGAAGACGTCACCTTTCCAACGTTATATAATATGTAGATGGAAGTATTAATGACAACACTTTACGACGCTTATAACTCCATCTATTGAAACTCCGCACGAACTTTTGCACTCACCCAATATATTGTTACAATAGCGCCTTGACTTTTATTAATTTGATGATTTTTAAACTTCTGAAGGTTGGTAAGTTAACAAAAATTAGGACACTATTGTAACAATATATTCTTGAGACCACATAGAGTAAAAAGCTATTTTTTTCTGACAAATATTAATAGTTAACGAGCTATCATAAGTTAAATATTGAAAAATATTGAAAAAGTTACCAAGTTTTTCTTAAATATCTCAAAAAATATTAGACAAATAAAAGTTTTTCAGATGTTAAAATTAGTTGGTAGAAAAAGATGATATAATAGAAAACTGGAATTTCCATTTAAGACCAGAGTATGATAATTAGTATGATTTTGTGATTAGAAATGATCAGTAAATATCTAAGAAATGGCGTCATTTGTAAGCAAAATGATATATGTAGTTGTTTTATATCTCCCCTTGTATGAAACCATACAACTTTTGTCTAAAACATTTTTTTTCTAAAATGCTTAGTTTTCGAGATATTTCGTCGTCCCGGTACTTTTTATACATCCTGTATCAATAATATATAACAGCAGTTATATTATGTGTTACTTGTATGTCATATAACAATTATATTCTGTGTTTGCTGAGTAGTCAATATTCTTTATTTTTATTTACTAAACAACATCGGTTATTTTAATCTGAAAGAACCGAACAAACGATCGGTACAAGTAAATTGCCGCTGAATGTCTCCCCGATAAAACCCTTATGAGACTATAAGATACGAAAAAAAGTATGTTTTTCTTTTTCCAGGAGTGTCCTGAGGGAGTAGTGCACGAGGACTCGTTCAAGGACATTTATGCGAAATTCTTCCCGCACGGCAGTGAGTTCCAATTAAATAACAGCCTGTGTTTTTGCGTAATTAGTTAATGACCACTCCTCATGCGAATTGCAGACTCCAGTCTCTACGCCCACTACGTGTTCAAGGCCTTCGACGTTAATTGCAACGGGGCCATCAGCTTCAGGGTAATTAAGTCTCTTTTGTAATGTAATCTTTTTATTAATTTTAAATTGCCTGGCAAACATATGGCTCGAAGGCACATACTCCGACAGTCATTCTCATCTCGGGGAATACGGCGCGCATCGTTTTCTTTTCGCAAGGAACTCTTCGGTTTACATTAACTTTCTAACGTTATCGCGCGCAGGGTTTAACTGATACGTCAACACGAAATCTAAACTATATTACCAGCCCATAGCTTTCTGCAGCTTTTAATTAATAAGACATATTTTTGTATAATGTTGTTTTCTCTTTCTTTTTAATTCAGTAAGTGCAATAAAATTTTAACATTACTTTCATATATATATATATACAGTGGATGTAAGAAATATTCGTACATCAGGAATTTTTTCAGAAAATAGTTTATTTCTACATAATAATAAATAATAAATAAATAATTATTTTTATATATAATGAAATCTTTTTTTTAATAACATGCCTGAAAGAACTTATAAATTATAATATTTTGTACTCTGAAATAATAAGATAACTATTTAATTAAAGAAAAATAGTGATTTCCTAAAACACAAAAAATATTTGAGCGTCTTAATTTTTTAATAATAGAAAATAAATTGATATTTTGTGGAGTTTCTCTTAAAGTTAATCACTATCTATAGTCTTCATAGCATTGAATCAACAAGATTTTTTCTGATGTAACACGTCACTCAATAAGTTCGTAGAATGACATATAAATGGCGCTAATATTTACAAATCCATATGATTTTTACTAACCTTCAAATGATACGTGCCAAAATTTCATGACAATCGGACGTTTAGTTCACAAGTTACAATGGTTTTAGTGACGCACGACGTAGTGTCGACTCGTTTTAGTAACGCGTCGACGATTCAGCGGGCTGTTTGGAGCTGTTTGAGCGCAATAAAAAGGATTTTTGATGCAGTATGTGACAATGGATGAAATATGGATCCATCACTACACTCCAGAGTCAAATTGGTAGGGAAAGCTCCAGGGAAAGAGATTTGGCTCCAATGAAAAAGTGATTGCCGAAACTGAAGCCTTACTAAAGTCGTGCGTCATGCGTCACTAAAACCACTGTAACTTGTGAACTAAACGTCCGATTGTCATGAAATTTTGACACGTATCATTTGAAGGTTAGTACTTCCTAAAAATCATATGGATTTGTCAATAGTAGCGCCATTTATATGTCATCCTACGAACTTATTGAGTGACGTGTTAATTTGATATCTTAATGGTAGGTAAAATTTCGTCTTGTAAAATTTTAACAAAGTCTGCACGACTGGATACTCTTTCTGTCACTGTATTTTTGAGAATGTTGCATAAATGCTCTATGAGATTTAAGTCCGGTGGTAGTGGAGGAATATGTGATTGTAGTGGTATATTATACGACAGTTTTTAGTATTATAGTTGTAACGGGGTCGGCTTCCCGTATGCGCGGTGTTCGCTTGGCCTTCGCTCGTTGGTACCAGGGTCCGAGGAAGAGTGAGAAAAAATAGAGGCCGCTGTAAATGATTCCGGTTTTCGCTTTCGTTAATTCGTAACACTGGTTACTAATTACACAATGTACAAAATGTGTAGCTCGGCTCGTGCGTGTCTCGGGTCGTTTTTCGGCCGCAGGTCGGCTTCCCTGTGAATCAACGAGGTTTCGTCATGGGAGTCAGCTTAACCCCTTCCGTGGTAGAGCAAAATTCAGTAAAATGTACTGAAACCGCCCCAAAAAAATGACAGGGCAGATTTTTTCAATAATTTGTATACTTCAGTTTTCTTGGTCGCTGAAGCCGAATTTGAGGTCAAAATATAGAAATTCAAAATGGCGGATCGAATATGGCGACTAAAATGTTTAGAAATGCTTAATATTATAAATAAAAGTAATTGGTCATTTCTTAAGTCACTAAATTAACGATTTTTATATAAAATCGCTCTTAACGCTCTTGCTGCTCGCTACGAACTGACTCGTTCGCTGCTCGCTCTTCGTCGTACATCCTCTGTTTTTTGGTACTACCGAACACTCAGATTCCTTTAGGCGCTGCGGTCAAACGACGCCGAACGTCGCGCGAAATCTATTGATGACGCCGCTGCCCTGTTCTAACGACGCCGATTCCTCCATCGGACGCCACAGTCTCTCCTCAGTTTCTCCCTCTCACCCTTTCTCACTCTCACACATCCTGTGTGTGAAAAAAAATTTACAATTTTCCGACATTTTAATTTGATTATAATCTTTTTTATTAACAAATTATAAAAAACTAAGTTGAAATTCGTAATCAGCGACCCAAAAAGTACTTGATAAAAATTCTACAACAATAGTTATTCCACTTAAAATTCAATACAACACGAAACTGATCTGAACGCACCGGTGCGTCCGTGCCACTTACGGCACGGTTTTGGCTGGACGCACCGGTGCATCCGTGCTTCGGAAAGGGTTAAATGAGCCTGTCCGGGAAGTCGGGTGCGAGTGGCCGTGGGACCGCAACTGGGACGGTCTACGCCGACTTGTAAGCTAGGAAGCAGCAGGCTGCGAAGTTCTGCAACTGGGACGGTTTTCGCCGACCCGTAAGCTAGGAAGCGAGAGATTGCGAATTCCGCCGGATGAGTGATGCTTCTGGTCGCTCGGTCTCCGATATTTATACCCCCGGTCGAGGGTTTCCAATGGGTTGTTCGGCTTCTTTCGGCCGAAAGTCGGCCTTGAGTTGGCCGCTTCCGGGTGAGTTCGGATGAGTCCGGCCGGGCGTGTGTTAAGCCTGCTCGTTACATAACACATCACTCAATAAGTTCGTAGGATGACTAATAAAACAACAACTTTTAAGCAAAATTTGACTTTATTCATCTACATAGTCTCCTTCAAGAGTGATATTAGCATATATTTCTAGCAGCAATAATAGCAATATTTCAGCAGACTGACGGCAGACTGAATCAGAGGTTTACAGCAGATTGGTGCCAACTGCTTGTCCATTGTGCCCACATTCTGACGGCAGAGTCTGGTAACATTATTTGACGGCAGACTGATGCCAGAAACAAAGCAGATCCTGACGTACACAGTCTAGTGACAGATTGACAGCAAAAACGTATCAGATCCTGACGTACGCAGTCTGGCGGCAGATTGACGGCAGAAATACAACAGATTCTGCAGTGCGCAGTCTGGCACCAGAATGACGGCAGAAACGTAACAGATCTTGCTGTTCACAGCCTGACAGCAGACTGGTGACAGAAATACAACAGATTCTGCCATATTCATTTTTACATCCCCTCTCCCCCTTTCCCATTCAGTCATGCACATTACATGAAAGTAATTATTAAAAAACAATACAATATACGAACGTAATTGTTTTTATTTATCACACAAGACAAAACGAGACAGCCAATCAGATTCACAATGGTGTTTACCGTAAATGGCGGAACACGAAGGCGACGATGTTTCTTCTCATAGCCTCAGGAAGTGACGACACACGGTGACTTCGAGACGATGTTGGAGTAACTGATGAAAGGGTTTGTGAACGGTGAAGTGGCAATTTGCTGCGATATCTGTAAATTGAAATTATATTACAGTTGCATCTTTCTAATTACAGTTATGTATAATATATGTTTAAGTAAATACATGAATTAAAAGTTACATTGTATTAATGTCACAATTTTCCACAGTAAATACAATACACGTGTCGTATTCATAGTAGCATAGCAAATTGCAGCATCGATTGTAACTCTTAATAATTGCTGGGATGAGACGGGAAAATCAGAGAAATCTGGATAAAAATATTTACCTGTGTCTCTTGCGTTCTTCGGTAATAGATTCGTCGATCCTCCGTGACATCCAATCCTCCCGTGATGACCTAAACATGTAAAATGTCCGGCAGACACCGTAAAGTCGACACAGAATACCAATTGTCTATGCCCAGAAGTCGAAGTTATTTGCCCGTTTCAACCGATTTTTGGGAGCTGCGCCTATTTCTTTTGTTTCTCCGCTCGCCCAAAGGTCCCTACAAGGGAGGACGGTCACGCCGCCCAGGTATAAGTTGTCATATATCACTTGTAGGGGTCTTCGGAAAGCGATCTTCAAGCGTGGCAATAGAAATGAAAGACTCTGATTGGTTCATTTCCTTATGCGTTATGCATTATGCCTTTATGCAAAAGTGTATGCTTCCTGCATTACTTGCCCGATTTAGCCGATTTTTTAAGGCTACGCCTACTTCTCTTCTCTTTTCTTTCCGAAGATTCCTACAAATGATATATGACAGCTTATACCTGGGCGGCGTGACCGTCCTCCCTTGTAGGGACCTTTGGACGAGCGAAGAAACAAGAGAAATAGGCGTGGCTCCCAAAAATCGGTTGAAACGGGCAAATAACTTCGACTTCTGGGCATAGACAATTGGTACTCTGTGTCGACTTTACGGTGTCTGCCGGACATTTTACATGTTTAGGTCATCACGGGAGGATTGGATGTCACGGAGGATCGACGAATCTATTACCGAAGAACGCAAGAGACACAGGTAAATATTTTTATCCAGATTTCTCTGATTTTCCCGTCTCATCCCAGCAATTATTAAGAGTTACAATCGATGCTGCAATTTGCTATGCTACTATGAATACGACACGTGTATTGTATTTACTGTGGAAAATTGTGACATTAATACAATGTAACTTTTAATTCATGTATTTACTTAAACATATATTATACATAACTGTAGTTAGAAAGATGCAACTGTAATATAATTTCAATTTACAGATATCGCAGTAAATTGCCACTTCACTGTTCACAAACCCTTTTATCAGTTATTCCAACATCGTCTTGAAGTCACCGTGTGTCGTCACTTCCTGAGGCTATGAGAAGAAACATCGTCGCCTTCGTGTTCCGCCATTTACGGTAAACACCATTGTGAATCTGATTGGCTGTCTCGTTTTATCTTGTGTGATAAATAAAAACAATTACGTTCGTATATTGTATTGTTTTTTAATAATTACTTTCACGTAATGTGCATGACTGAATGGGAAGGGGGGAGG